TGTAGTTTTTAATCTAAATGTGTCAAGTTTTTAGTAATAAATTATTGGTACCACCTTCAAGTAAACTGTTCTCTAAATTTAATACATATGATAAAGATGTTAAAAGTAAACAGTGCACAACCTAACTTAATAAATAAATATTAAAAAATGAAAAATCGGTATCACACAAACTATGTTGTAGTGTTATTGCTGTAAAGTGGTCTTCATCTTAGTAGGCACTCTTTTCATTAGGACCTGCTCTAGTGTGTGTGTATTGCGGAGCGAATGAAGCACATAACCGTTAATGATTGGTCTGTGTATGAACTGAGAGGTGGGACAACAACATAACTAATGATGATTGGCTAAGAGGGTGATAACATGAGGTCTGCATCCAGAGAATGAGACTGCATCAAACCAAATAATTCTATTCCAATTGTGTTCTGACACAAAATATAGCCTATTTAATATTAGCAAAACGTGTTTATCATGTCATTGTAAATTTTGACAAACAACTTTACTAATAACATTTCCATATCATCAGCTTGCTGTCAGTAAAGGCGGTGGAGAGCACAGAAGTGCTAGAACTTTAGATTTAACATTGAATTTAATTGTGGAAAGATGTACATTTTACTTGAATAAAATAAAGCTTGAGTTTACACTTACCTGCCACTTTTTAGGTACACCTGTCCAGCTGCTTGTTATTGCTCAAATCAGCCAATCACATGGCAGCAACGCAATGCAATTAGGCATGTAGACATAGTCAAGATGATATGCTGCCGTTCAAACCTATCAGAATGGGAAAAAAGGCGATTTAATTGACTTTGAACATGGCATTGTTGTTGGTGCCAGATAGGCTTGTCTGAATATTTCAGAAACTACTGATCTACAGGGATTTTTACGCACAACCATCTCTAGAGTTTACAGAGAAGGGTCAGAAAAAGAGAAAATATCCAGTGAGCGGCAGTTCAAATACCTTGCTGATACCAGAGGTCAGAGGAGAATGGCCAGACTGTTTCAAACTGATAGAAAGGCAACAGAAACTCAATTAACCACTTGTTAAAACCGAAGTATGCAGAAGAGCATGTCTGAACGCACAACACATCCAACCTTAAGGCGGATGAGCTACCACAGTAGAAGAACAAATTGAAAGCATAGATCCATCCTGATTTGTATCATCGGTTCAGCCTGGTGGTGGTGGGTATTGGTGTGGAGGATATTTTCTTGGCACACTGTGGGCCCATTAGTACCATTTGAATGTCTTACCTGCCAACCTGAGTTACCTGAGTATTGTTGCTGACCATGTCCATCCCTTTATGACCACAGTGTACCCATCTTCTGATGGCTACTTCCAGCAGGATAACGTGCCATGTCATAAAGCGTGAATCATATCAGACTGGTTTCTTGATCAGGACAATGAGTTCACTGTACTCAAACAGCCCCCACAGTCACCAGAACTCAACCCAATAGAGCATCTTTGGGATGAGGTGGAACGGGAGTTTCGCACCATGGATGTGCAGCCAACAAATCTACAGCAACTGCGTGATACTATCATGTCAATATCGACCAAAATCTCTGAGGAATATTTCTAGTACCTTGTTGAATATATGTTATGAAGGATTAATGCATTTCTGAAGGCAAAAGTATGTCCAACCCGGTACCAGTAAGGTATACCTAATAAAGTGGCGAGTGAGTGTATACTGAGTAAACATAATTTTGTTATAAAAAACAATCTATCTATATATCCGTCCATATATATATATATATATATATATATATATATATTTTTTTTTTTTTTTTTTTTTTTTTTTTATACATTTTTAAAAAGCACAATTTAACAAATTTTCTAATGCAAGTAACTTATGGATAAATCTGTTATAAATCCATACAGATTTTCCTGCAAAAGTACCTTAGGTACATTCAAATCAATATTTATTTGCTCTTTCCTGTGGTTCTATAATCCTAAAATGTCTGGCACTCACTATACACATGCATGAATTGCACACAATCACTCTGCGAATTGAATTGGATGCAGTCGCACCCTTTCCATCCCCCGAGAGCTTCTCTACGATGCCTTGTTTTTATCCATTGGCCGAGAACACACAAAACTCATGATTCTCCGAGCAGCAGTCGATCCTGACATGAGTGATAGAGGCTCACCGCTCTCAGACATGCACACCGCTTCTCTGTCACTCATTTATGGCAGCCACATAACATTGCAGCTGCCCTTCATCCCACCTGCCACCTCCAGTCGTGACCCTACTGTTTTTTTCCGTTAAACCACTTCCTGTGTTTTATTGGCCTGCACTGTAGACACCATCAGAATAAGAAATACAAAAGGAAGATATAGGATGATAGAAATAAAATGAAAAAGTCTTGACATTGGAAGGTTGATTAAATGGATAGTTCACTCAAAAATGGCAAGTTTTGTCATCATTTACTCAACTTTAAGCAGTTTCATTCCTGTTTCTTTCTTCTGTTGAACACAAGGTATTTTGAAAAATGTTGAAAAGCAGCTTCCTTTGACTTGAGTAGTATTTTTTCTTCTTTCTATGGATGTATGTGGCTGCTGGTTTTCAGATTTTTTTCAATATAAATAATTTTGTATTCAACAGAGGGAAAACCCACCTAAAGGTGAGTAATTATGACAGATTTTTTTTTTTTTTTAGCTGGACAAAATTGGGCGAATTTGCATTTACTTACATTTAGGGACTATAGTATGGTGATACTAAATACAGCACAAATTAAGTTAATTAAACAAACTAACCTGAGAATAGATAATGAAAAAACTGTTTGTGTTTATTTTTATTGTTTTGTTATATCAATGCAGATAGACAGCAGCACTATTAATACGCAGTCTAATAATTTGAAATGGTTGATCAATAATTTAATGCATTTATTTCATGCATGCACGCATGTATTTATAAAAAAAACGCATTTATTTAATGAAAAGAATAATATTTGCAAAAATGTATGTATTTCTTCTGCAGGCAGATTCTGTCTGACAAAAAAGACGATTTCCTGACTGGAGCTAATATCTGCTTGTTAAGTCATGACATATGAAATATGATAATAGCTAAGAAAATATTTAGCTACAACCACATTAAAGTGCAATTAATATAAAATCATGGTGTACACAAGACTTGCTGCATCACAGAAACCAATATTTTAAAAATGTATTAAAAAAATGTATCACTTAATCTACTATTAGGCATGGATATATATTGTGATCGTGATTTTCGAAAGTATCTGTAAACATTTAATATTACCATTTTACATTTATTGTTCAGTCTCCCCATACATTTTGATATAGCACTTCAAACCAGAAGTGACGTCACACTTAACAAGCAGACACTGAATAAACCAACTCGCTTTACCTCTTGTTCATCCATGTTGACATTAATGTCATCTGTTGCTTTTTGGCAATTCATCGCTGATACTTGTGCGACACCTGCTCATTAGAACTTTCAGTGAGATATATTTAGAGCATTACTTCAAAATTCCTGGACACTCGTGTCGACACATGCAGACTCACTCTGCGTTCTGCTCAGTCCCACTTTTTCTTGGTGAATTTGAAAGTTCCCCCTATAAAGTGATTTGTTACCCCAGTCCCCAGTGAAAATTATGCCTTTGCTATCTTTTTAAGTAAACCTAAACACAAAAGTTAAAAATCACATGTCTTTCTCTAAATTAAGTTTGTGGATTAGCTCTTAATGTGACAGCAGCTGTCATTTATTGAAGTATTTGTCCAGAATACAAACTTAAACCACTATTTCATTTGCTCATTTTAATATTTTGTGTAACTTAGTGCTTTCTTTTTGTATTTGTTATATTTAATATTTTTAATGTTTACTTTTAATTCAAAATGTACATTAGTTTGTTATGTTTTATTAGATGTTTCTTTTCACTTTGCAAAATGAAAAGAATTTTTTTTGCATGATTCATAACTTTTGCATGATCCAAAAAAGTAATTTGATTCGTCCATTCATTCATTTTCCTTCAGCTTTGTTCCTTTATAAATCAGAGGGCTACTGTTAACAGTTCGAGGTTTCCAACATTTTCAGATTATCTTTTTTTTTACAAAGAGTTTTAGAAGAAGTAAAGAGTCAGTAAATGATGACTAAATTTTCAGTTTTTTGGTGTGAACTTTACCTTTAATGTGAATTATTAATAATATTTTTATTATTTAATATTATTGTATAAATAGTTATCTAATAACTAATAATATTAAGTATATATTGATTAATAGTATTACGTATTTATTGATTATTAATATTAATATTATATTAATTTTTAAATTATTATATTTAGTAACACTAATTCTAGCAGACCCCAAATGTTTAAATAAGATCTTATAAATTAGCATAACATGTAGAGTTGAATTGTATTGAATGAATACACCTTACTTTACAGCAAACATAGGTATATATTACAGTATGTATGGTTTATTTATATTTGTCCTATAGTTTGTAAGCAGGCACCTTGGTCACCACTGGCACCTGAGCTCCTCCAGCTCATAAGTGACCGAGTTGTCATGCTATCCGAGCCTGGAGTTTTCTCTGTACGTTAAGAGCCACAGCTGTGTATGTATGTATAGCGCCTAACCCTCATCTGCAGCTGATGTCTATACAGCCCTCCCTCAGGACTCACACACACTCACTGTGACACACACACTCAGCCTCGAGGGCTTTCCGCTCACCGCCATCATTCAATTTCAGTCTGTTAGCCTTGAGTTACGGCTGATGTCAGCGTGCGGCCCGCGAGGATGTAAGGAAAGAGCGCTATTGCGAAGAGCTTGTTTCATTGTTTATTTACCTACAGCAGGGACTCCGACACGCTGAAGCGTTTAGTCATTGTAAATGCACCGAGCTTTCCTCTGCTCCGTTTAAGCGTTCAAATGCCTGGTTGGGGGACTATCTGTTTTCCAAAGGTATTACAGCACAAATGAACACCTGGAGTCAGGCAGGAGAAGAAAGAGCAAAGCGCTCAGGGGTTTACAGATGTTTGCGTTTGTTCTCTAACAGGGACAGCCCGACAGCCAATGAGAGTGGAGCCAAAACTGCCCGATCAAAAGCCTCCAGCCGCTTCCCCAGACTCGGCCGCAACTCAGCCCGTGAATCCCGGAACCCCGAGCCCCAAAGCGGCGACCTTTAACTCAAAAAGACCCGTCAGTATGGATGTACTGAGCCAAGGACCTTCTGTTATGGATGTACATAACGCCACTGCTGGGAACTACATTTGGTGATAAAAGTGGTGTATATTGGTTTAGTAGCAACTATTGTGCCTGGTGATTTATAACTGACGAAAAAAAGAAGCAAGGATGTCATTTTGACTCACTGCAGTGACATGAAACTTTGATGAGGCTTGTGCGATCGTCTGGATATAATTATTTGCACATCTTCATATGATTTGTTCTTTTTGTAGGCATTTTTTGTTACCACGCTCTGCTGTGTATGAGGCACACAGTTGTATACAAACAATCACTTTCCATTTTCCTGTCTAATAAATTGGCAACTGATTTGATATGAAGGCCTGGTGATGGTCGGTTACTGGAGTCTCGACTCTTGCACTCCAGAGCCTTTGTCGTCTGTCCCTCAAAACCTATCATTGGAAATTATCCTGGTCTGCCATTATCCTGAATGACCTCGAGAGTACTGTTACACAGAGACCAGCGTGAGTTGACTTTTATTGTGTGGATTGAACAGAATATTTTTTTTTTGTAGTGGGGAAAACCTGTTTGCCCTATTTCAACTACAAGCACAGTGATGATTGGGAAACATTACTAACCAATAGTATTTATGGCTTTTAACATGTTATGATGTATATGGGGGATCGTTGACTGGATGCTTGATGTGTCTGAATGAATAAATAGTCTAGTATCTACTTGAATGTAATGTAGAGTTGCCATCAGAATTTATCTGTAACACACAAAGTAGCAGATCAATTGTGTGCTTTTGCATATGTGTCTGTTTGCAACTTTTTTACTAGCAAGCAACTGTACTGTTTGTGATGCTTTTTCTTAAACAGAGTATCTTTCTGCTCTAAATGTGGCAGGATGCAGCTGTTTCTGCAGCCTTAAGAGTGCAAGAGCTTAATGAATACATGAATAAATACAAATACCAACACATGGTCTGTTTTTTTTGTGTGTGTGTGTTTTTATCATAAAGGTGGGTATCGGTCAGTGCTGGGCTAGTTACTAAAAAATAGTAACTAGTTACAGTTAATAGTTGCTTCATTTAAAAAGTAACTCAATGACTTTATCAATTTAAATTTAAAGCATGACTGTTAAAAGTAATTTTTGACTTTTCAAATTAATTTTCTTTTCAGCCCTTTATTAATCTGGCGGGAATGAACCGCCAACTTATCCAGCATGTTTTACGCAACGGATGCCCTTCCAGCTGCAACCCTTCATTGGGAAACACCCATGCACTCTCATTCATACACATACAGTAAAAAAACAAAACAACAGTTATAGCTACTTTAAAGGAGAACATTGACGTTTTAAAAAAAAAAACTGAACTGAACTGAACTGAAAGTAAATTATTAAAAATAAACCTGCGAGACTTAATTTATGTCCTGCGGCAAAAATATTTTTATTATACTTTCAGTGATCTGCTTGAGGTAGGTCAATTTATTTTTTCTTTTGATGAAGCAGCATTCAACTTAAGCTTTTTAGACCATGCTGCTGACCGGTTTCACGTACTGTACGGCAATGTCTTTAAATAAATCATTTATTTAGGCCTATTTTCATTATTCATTTATTTTCATTATTCGTTTATTATTATGTACAATTGTTGAGACATAAATGAGATAGTAAAATATAATCAACAACGAAAATGGAAATAAATACAGAAATAAAACAAAAATAAAAATGTCTTGTCTTAGTCCTATCAAAATAGCAAACACTACATCTCTCTATATTTAGGCTGCTTTATTTATTTATTTCTTTAAGACTACTTATTTGTACTAAATGTTTGTGCTTTCATTTTAGTTGTCTTTTACTTCTTCAATTCTATTTTCCAAAATGAATCCTCTTTGCACCTCTTTGCGTGTTAACAAATTTTAAATGATTAATGAAGGAATTATAATGCTTTGATTTATTGTTTAATATCATTTACAAGCACAGAGGCTGCTGTATGGGCTATTTCTGTCCGTTCGCATCCCGTCCCTTTGTGCCCCCTGGCGGTTCATTCACAAACTGCGGTCATACACTAAAAACAGAGCGGCACCTATTTTAAACGGCAGCGGTACATGCTGCGGCGTTAATAGCCACTTTGAACTCTCACCTACTGTACACTACGGACAATTTAGCTTACCCTATTACCTATATGGTGCATGTCTTTGGACTTGTGGGGGAAACCGAAGCACTCGCAGGAAACCTACGCAAACACGGGGTAAACATGCAAGCTCCACACAGAAAAAGCCAACTGACCCAGCTGAGGCTTGAACCAGTGACCTTTTTGCAGTGCTACCAACTGCAATTGTGCTACCCATAAATTACAATTTTGTTAATCAGATAGCAAATGTGTGCTTATTTATTCAAAACAAAAAACATAGTAATATTAGTAGAAATTGATAATAGTAACGTTAATAGACTCTCTGTCTCTACCTTGCGCCCATTCGGTTTCTCTCGCAAGCACAATTGGCCTCGCTTGACTGTCTCTTTCATGAATTGACTCGGTTCATGAATTGACTCCAGTCCGGTGCCTCGTACACGATGCGTTTTCTTTACGGTAGTTGATTGGCATCAATGCCACAATACGTCGCTGCTGTAAACAGGAAGATTTAGACTGCAGCCAAAATTAACTTACCAATTAACGGACAACCCCATTATATTGTAAAAATAATGGAGTTACTATATTTAAAAAGTAATGCTTTACAGTATTAGTTACTGTTAAAAGTAATGCCATTACAGTAATGCATTACTAAGGAGTTATTGCCCAACACTGGCATCAGCACAATGACTGCTTTTTCATTCATTTTCGGCTTAGTCCCTTTATTAATCTTGGGTCACCACAGCAGAATCAACCGCCAATTCATCTGGCATATGTTTCATGCAGTAGATGCCCTTCCAGCTGCAACACAGTACTGGGAAACATCCAAACACACTCATTCACACTCATTCGTACACTACGAACAATTTAATTTTCAATTCACATGCCTAGGGGAACCAGAGCACCCAGAGAAAACCCACGCGAACACGGGGAGAACATGCAAACTCCACACAAAAATGCCAACCGACCCAGCTGAAGCTCGAACCAGTGAACTTTTTGCTGTGAGATGATCGTGCTATCCACTGCGCCGCCGTGACGCATGACTGTTTTTTTCTACAGTTTCAAAAAGTTTCAAATGATTTAAAAGAACTCCCCTTTTTTTGGAAAGAAGCTCATTTACAAGTCTAGTTCTGTAGAGTGCAAAAGAAATAATATCCCACTTCCATTCCAATTTCAATCTGATCAAACTCAATCTGGTGATGTGTTTACATAAACGTTTCTGAATCTGATTAAATTGTGTGGTTATGAACCGATCATTTGGTGCATGTAAACATAACCAAAGGTTTCAGATAAAACTAGTGTTCGGTCACTTGTGAAATGTGATTCGGTACATTTTATTATAAAACCCATGAGAAAAAGCCCTACACTTTACGAAACTACTATATAATGTATATTTGCACTTTTGTCTTAAAGCGTTATAATTACTGATATGCAGTCTCCATGTGCTGGCAGTCAGAAGTAGATCACTGCTCTTCACAGTGTAGCACAGAGAGTGGATTCACAGCTGACTGAATACAGGCCAGACAATCTGTGCACTTCCACTTGGATGAGCATTCAGATAATGTTACTTGTGCTCCTGGTCATGGCTTAGCAACATTTAAAACAGAAAAGCACAGGTCATTAATTTCACAGTATAGGAGGCGCTGTAAATGTCCCTCTCAAATTTGCATTATGAGGATTCATTCGTCCGGTTAGTTAAACATTAAAGAATTTACCTTTATCACGGGGTGTAGTTTATGTCAAGTTTAAAATAAGCTGTTTTATTCATGTGCTACAGTCTTAACATTTATTGTTGAGCTTGAAATTGATTTCCATGAATTTCTCTGCAGAGCTCGGTGACCTTAGTTAAGTCGAGGCTGTTGTATAAACAGTCCTGAGTATTTTTGTGGGAATTCAGATACAATAGGCATTTATTCTCCTCGTTTCCCCCATTTTCTTTTTTACAATTGATTTGCATCACAAAAAAATCAGACTGTGCATGTATTAAATAAAATATTTCCTGAAGTATCTGTTCTTTAAGCAAGGAATGGATGTTTGTATCCATTGTTTGTATCCATTTTTCTGTTCACCAACCATGGTCTCAAAAATTCAAACTTGAATACCTGAATGTAAATTTTTTTAACACTTATTTTACACTTGCCTTGTTACATATATTCCACTTACTTGGGTAATAATAAATTGTGCATTATTACATGCAGTCAACCATAAGCCTAATCCTCATCCTGACCCTAACCATATAGTATACCTTTAAATAATTGTAATACATATAAAACGGGACATATTTTCTACAAAAATGGTTACCGTTTTCTTCAAACAGGATTGGACAGTTTTCTGTGAACTGTCTCTTTAATTCTGATTACAAAAATTCTTCACGGCTGCAATTACATGTAAGAAATTACCGTCAAATGTTTTAATAGGCCAAATGTAAATAAAAATGTTTTACCACAAAGGTAATTTGAAGGGTTAGTTTTCACAACAATGCTAGGTAATGTAAGAAGGCTGGATGATTGATTAATTTTTTCTGATTTCTACAATCGTTATCTTTTTATTATTCATATAAAGGGCCCTATCATACACCCGGCGCAGTGGGGCGCAAGACGTGGCGCAATAGTCTTTTGGTAGTTTCAGCTTGGGGCAATTGTCGTTTTGAGGCGTTGCGCTACACTGTTTAAATAGCAAATGCATTAGCGCTCATTTGTGCGTCCATAGGCGTTCTGGTCTAAGAAGGAAGGCGTTCTGAGGCGGACCGCTGGCGCGTTGCTATTTTGAGAAACTATAATAGATTTTTCATTAGACCAAAACTAACCCGGTCTAAACTCCGGCGCAGAGTTGCGCCTCGCTTACGCACTGCTTAATACGCACAAGAGAGCAATAGGCAAATATCTTTACATATGAAAAAATTTAAATATTAAGGATATATATAGGATATAATAAGAATAGATATAGGATATAAATATAAAGGATTAAAATATTACAAAACACATTATTTTCTAGCCTATATAAATATGAAAAACCACTGCTTTTATGTCTTCTTCATCTCGGGAGGCTTTTTTAGTTCATTCATAACAATTTGCTTTTGTATAATGTTATTATTATTTGCAGTATTATTTAATATATCCATATTTATATTTGTTTTATCAAAAACAAGCTTAGATTTGCCCACCTGTCAGGTTTAAGACCATATGGGGCATGGCAGGTGTATTTTGAAATAACTCAGTATTTTGACCACACTTGGTAATTATTGTTCATTTATTCGTTTGCTAGAAATTAGAACTGAATTTAGAAATAGTTTTGAAACAAATATTTGTGCTTAACAAACGAAATTAATTATTTATAGGCTAATTGATGTCTGTGTGTAAAGGTTTTCCTATCCAAGAGCGAAAGTGAAAGTAGTTCCATTATCTCTCATTCTCACGCAGTAGATGCTCTGTTTAACAGTTTTCTGTTAAAAAACTGTCAACTGTTAACTGTTTGCTTGTGAAATGCTCATTTTTTCCACTTAGACTTACTTTGCATCCTGTAAATAGCGAATGCGATCTTGGCGCGACGCAGCTGGGTCTTAAAGGGAATGGGAGTTGAGACTCTAATTGGTTTATTCTCAAAACACACCTATAACTCATTAAGAAAATAAACTCAACCCTTTTAGCTCATGCGCCTTGGCGCAAAGCGCATTTTCCCGTCCGTAAATTAGCAAAAATGCGCTCTGACACGCCCTGAAAGCGTTTGCGCCCTGCGTTTTGCGCTCTGCGCATGGACCGTCAAAATAGAGCCCAAAGAGTTTAATATAATAAGGACAATTTAATTTGATTAAGGATGACATTAAACTGTACATTTTAAGTAAAAGTGTTTTA